AAATAAGACACATCTCAGGGCACCTGGGTGGGCTGTCGGTTAAGCATCTGCCTTCACCTCAGGTCACAATCCTGGGGCCTTGGGATAAAGCCCAACATCAGGCTTCCAGCTCAGTGGGGAGTCTGCTTCCGCTTCTCCCTCTCCCTATCCCCCTCCCCCTGTTTATGCTCTCTCTCAAATGAATAAATTAAAATCTTAAAAAAAAAAGAGTGACATCTCCATGTACTGACATGGAAAGATACTCCCTACAAACTGATTTTAGAAATTAGAAATACAATCCCAGATATAGCACAAAAAACGTGTTAATATCATACAAATACATAGGCAGATGTTAGGAAGTCTATTCAACAAAATATACTTTGGGTTACTTCTAAGTAGCAAGATTTGGGTGTCTCCCCTTTTTCCTTTTTGTACTTTTCTATACAGTCCTAATCTTTTCAATATATATTAGTATTCTTACAATTTAAAAAAATTTTAAAGATTTTTATAAATAGTGATCATACTGAAAATCTTAATGTTTAGAAACTTCTTGGTGTCTTTATCTAACATAGTACTAAAGAGAGCACTGTTGGTATTGAGTATTATTAGGTAAGCATTAGCTCTGGCTCCTTATCTGTAAATACATTTCTCACATGCTTACTCCATTAATGTTTTGGTTGAGCTGCTAAGTATGATAAAGCTACAGAAAATACCCACTGGTGGTCATTCTTTGGATTAAGTGGACACAAAGAAGGGGCACCTGGGTGGCTCAGTCAGTTGAGCATCTGACTCTTGATTTTGGCTCAAGTCATAATCTCAAGGTCATGAGATACGGCCCCATATCAGGCTCTGTGCTGAGTGTAGAGCCTGCTTAAGATTCTCTCTCTCTCCAGGTGCCTGGATGACACAATTAAGCAACCAACTCAGGTCCTGATATCAGGGTTGTTTGAGATCCAGCCCCAGAGCGCCAACTCCACATTCAGCAGAGTCTGCTTAAGTTTCTCTCTCCTTCTGCTCTTCTCCCAAAATGATCTGTCTCTGTCAAATAAATAAATAAGTCCTTAAAAAATAAAATAAAAAGATTCATTTTTTTTTAAGATTTCATTTATTTATTCATGAGAGACACACACACAGAGAGAGAGAGAGAGAGAGAGAGAGAGAGAGAGAGAGAGAGGCAAAAACACAGGCAGAGGGAGAAGCAGGCTCCATGCAGGGAGCCCCGACGTGGGACTTGATCCTAGGTCTCCAGGATCACACCCTGGGCTGAAGGCGGCGCTAAACCGCTGAGCCACCCAGGCTGCCCAAATAAAGAGATTCTTGTCCTCCATCTGCCCTTTTTTAGCTCTCTAAAAAATACATAAAAAATAGGGGCACCTAGATGGCTCAGTCATTAAGGGTCTGCCTTCAGCTCAGGCCATGATCCCAGGATTCTGGGATCTAGCCCAATGATGAGCTCCCTGCTCAATGGGGAACCTGCTTCTCCTCCGTCTGCCTGCCACTCCCTCTGCTTTTGCTCTCTGTCAAATAAAGAAATAAAATCTTAAAAAACAAATAAATAAAAATAATATTCTTTACAGCATAATACTCCGTTTCTACCAACGTTATTTCCTTTTAACATTTTATTTATTTATTTGTGAGACAGAGACAGAGAGGGAGGCAGAGACACACACAGAGGGAGAAGCAGGCTCCCCACAAGAAACCTGATGCGGGACTCCATCCTACGACCCTGGGATCACCCCTGAGCCAAAGGCAGGCGCTAAACCACTGAGCCACCTAGGCACTCCTCTACCAACTTTATTTCAAATACAATGCAAATTTTTCCATAACATAAAACTCAGATCCGAGTATTTGCAGATTTTATTTTTTTAAAGATTTTATTTATTTATTCATGAGAGACACAGAGACAAAGAGAGAGGCAGAGATACAGGCAGAAGAAGCAGGCTAGAGGATCCCTGGGTGGCTCAGTGGTTTAGCGCCTGCCTTGGGCCCAGGGCGCGATCCTGGAGTCCCAGGATCGAGTCCCACATCCAGCTCCCGGCATGGAGCCTGCTTCTCCCTCCTACTGTGTCTCTGCCTCCCTCTTTCTCTCTCTATGTCTAAAATAAATAAATTAATAATAAATAAATAAATAAATAAATAAATAAATAAATAAATAAATAAATAAATAATAAATCTTTTAAAAAAGAAGAAGAAAAAGAAGCAGGCTCCATGCAGGGAGCCTGACTTGGGACTCGATCCCAGTTCTCCAGGATCACGCCCTGGGCTGAAGGCGATGCTAAACAGCAGAGCCACCTAGGCTGCTCTATTTGCAGATTTTTAAAACATTAACAGAACTCTACCCAATGTAGCACAGGGTGTCTAAATGTATTCAATAATTTTTTCATTCAATAAACATTTTTTTAAAAGATTTTATTTCATTTCAGATAGGGACAGAGAGAGCACCAGCAGGAGGGAGAGGCAGAGGGAGAAGCAGACTCCCTGCTGAACAGAGGGGGGTGGGGCCCAACCCCTTCGGGGCTCCATCCAGGACCCTGGGATCAATAAACATTTGAGGGAAAATAATAAAATAAAATAAAATAAAATAAAATAAAATAAAATAAAATAAAATAAAATAAAATAAAAATAAAATAAAATAAAATAAATAAAATAAATAAAATAAATAAAATAAATAAAATAAATAAAATAAAATAAAATAAAATAAAATAAAATAAAATAAAATAAAATAAAATAAAAAAATAAAATAAAATAAAATAAATAAATAAAATAAAATAAAATAAAATAAAATAAATAAAATAAAATAAAATAAAATAAAATAAAATAAAATAAAATAAAATAAACATTTGTGGGGCACCTGGGTGGTTCAGTTGGTTAGGTGTCTACCTTGGGCTCCAGTCATGGTCCTGGGGCCCTGGGATCCAGCCCTGCATAGGGCTTCCTGCTCAGTGGGGAGTCTGCTTCTCCCTCTGCGTCTCTGCAACCGCCCCTCCTCCTCTGTCTGTCTCTCTCATAAATAAATAAATAAAATCTTAAAAAAAAAAAAAAAGAAAGAAACATTTGGGCCCTCATATGTACCAGGCCCCAAAGTCTACAGAGAAGATTAAATCATACCTCTGAAGAAATTCATAATCTAATAAAAAAAATTTAAATGTAAAGAGAATATGTGATGCCCTTAGTGTAAAAATACAGATAAGCACAATTAATTTAGAGTGCACAGAAGAGGAGGGACCGTCATTAAGCTTCAACAACGAGGGTCGCGGGGGTGGCTCAGCTGTTGAGTGTCTGCCTTTGGCTCAGGGAGTGATCTCAGGGTCTTGGGATGGAGTCCTGCCTCGGGCTCCCCTTGGGGAGCCTGCTTCTCCCTCTGCCTGTGTCTCTGCCTCTCTCTGTGTGTCTCTCATGAATAAATAAATCTTAAGAAAAAAAAGTTTCAACAATGACTAAATATTTTTAAAGTGCCACAAATATAGCACCTGCAAACACAGTGAAATAGTGAAATGGGCACTTGCCTGTTATTTGTCAAGGTTCATCAAATGCTCAGTCCTAGTAGGAAACTGAATAAAAGAAAACGTTATGGTGAGAATCAAAGCTATGGTATTTTTTAAACGTTAATAACGTTTTATGACCTCAATTTAAATAAAACATCCATGGGGATCCCTGGGTGGTTCAGCAGTTTAGTGCCACCTTCAGCCTAGGGCGTGATCCTGGAGTCCAGGATCGAGTCCCACATCGGGCTCCCGGTGCATGGAGCCTGCTTCTCCCTCTGCCGTGTCTCTGCCTCTCTCTCTCTCTGTCTATAATTAATAAATAAAATCTTTTTTAAAAATCCTTAATTTTTAACTTTTTAGGTTATCTGAACTGCTAAGCAGACCCCTGAAACTCATTTCCAACCATCCTCATTAAACCATCCTCCAACCTATTAAAGCTAGATATGTACATTTTAAAGGTTTTTAAACTCTGCACAAATTGTATTACGAACAAATTTTCAGTGCCCGACCTTTTGGAACCGCATCAGAATGTAAAATCAAACTCTTCAAAGACATGAAATAGAAAGTAAAGAGCAATTTCATCCAGGAAAACAGAAACGGCTGGCTACTTCCTCTTTTGATAATTTCTCCTCCAGTCCAGGGGCAGGTTATCGGTTACTCCCGCCCCAGAAGTCTGAGCCCCTGAATTCCGCTACTGAACCTCCAGAGACGCCAGCTCGGGCAGGAAAGCGAGGCGCAAACTTATCCAAACCTGTGCACCAGGGTCTTACCGGGAGAGCAGCCCTGCGGGGACAGACTGGGAAGTCCAGGTGGGGGCGGGGAGGTAAGCAGTGGGGGCTCCCGAAGGGAATGGGGGGAGCCCGCCGCGCGATCCCGGGACAAGCCCGGGCCTCCCAGGAGCCCCTCCGCAGCCTCCAGAACCCGGAGACCCGAGTCGCGGAGACGCGGATGCCCCCCCCCACCCCGGTCTCCCAGGTGCCCCTCCAGGGCCTCGCAGCCCGGGGCGCCTCCAGACCCCCGGAGACCTCTAGGTCGCGGAGAGGCGGGCGTCGTCCACCGCCGCCCCCGCCCCGGCCGCCCGCGCAGTCCCAGGCGGCCGAGGTGAGGCCGGTGCGAGGGCCGCCGGGTGGCGGACCCCACCCCACACACAAAGGGAGGAGGGCCGACTCGAGCCGTCGCTCTTCCCTTCCAGCGGCAGCTGCACCGCGGCCGGAGCCCGGCGCCACCCCGGGCGCCGCCGCCACTTCAAGTCCCCGCGGGTCGCTGACGGCCCCGACTGCTCACCTTCAGCTCCCTCGCCCCTTCAGCCCAGGAGCAGAGGAAGCAGCGTCCCCCGGATCTGCCCTCCTCTCCGCCTCAGAACCGCGGAGCAGTCCAAACCCGCCGGGCCCGCCCCGCTCGGACAGCGCGCGCCCGCGCACGCAGACACACGCACCCCGAGCCGCGCGCACGCGCCTGAGGGAGCGGCCCCGCCCGCCCCGCCCCGCCCCGCCCCGCCCCGCCCCTGGCGCGGCCAAGCACGGGGCGCGCCCCTTCCGGAGGACCGTGGGCCGAGGACCCGGCGGCAGCGCGCTCCGAGTGGCGCGCGCGCGCCCCCTCCCCGCGCCCTCGCTGCCCGGCGGGCGGCCCCGCGGTCCTCGGGTGTGCGGCGTTCAGGGACAGAAGGACTGCGTCCCGGTGCGGCGGCCTGAGGAACTAGAGGGCGGGCGGCCGGGGGACGCTGTGAAGCGGCGAGGACGGCGGGGAGAAGAGCCGGCAAGCTTGTGGGCGGCGCCGGTCCCGGCGGGGGCGCGGTCAGGGCCGAGGCGGCCACGTCCCGACGCCCGGGGGTGGAGAGGCTGCCTGGGACCTCGGCGGTGCAGACATGTCGGAGGTGAAGAGCCGGAAGAAGTCGGGACCCAAGGGAGCCCCCTCGGAGCCGGGGACGCGGAGCGAGGGCGGGAAGAGCCCCGAGGCCCGGGGCGGCGGCGGGGGCTGGGCGGATCCGCGGACCGGCGTGAGCCTGCTGTCGCTGGGGACCTGCCTGGGCCTGGCCTGGTAAGTGGACGCGAGGCTGCCGGGGCCTGTGTCCGGCCTGCGCGGTCGGCGCGCTCTCCTCGGGCCCCTCCCGGCCCCGACCCCGAAGAAGGGCCAGCCCAGCCGTCTTGGTTTCCTTTTCGCTCGTCTTACAACTTAACTTTTCCTCTCTATTAGCACGTAGTGGGCCCCGATCGCTCCGTGGGAGCTGAGACCAAGGTCTGGGGACGACTCAGCCGCGTCTTGAGAGGTGCCGATGCGGCGCAAACTGTGTCAAGCGCCTGCTACCCGTCGGATGCTTTCCGTGTTTGTAACCCGTTGTTTCCCGTCCTCTGCACGTTTGCCTGGGACGCGGTTGCCCCACCCTCACGCCAGTGATGCAGCCTTGAAAGATTTCATGATGATCTCAAGGCAGCAAACGTTAACGACGATGTCAGAGATTGGAGAATCTCTCATTTTGCAATCATCGTCTATGCGTTATGTGAATTGGAAGCGTATTCCTAAAATACAGATTGAATTTCGGTACCATCAGATGACAAGAGTGTAGCACTCGTGTTCACCTAAAACTGAGCAGCTGTAGTTTTTTTTTTTTTTAATTAGTTTATTTTTTCATGAAAGAGGCAGAGACACAGGCAGAAGCAAGCTCCCTGCGGGGAGCCGCATGCGGGGCTCATCCCAGGACCCCGGGATCACACCCTCAGCCAAAGGCAGATGCTCAACCACTAAGCCACCCAGTAGTCCTGAACAGGTATAGTTTTTTAAGCCAAGCAAATAGCAATACATTGTTTTCATAGAAAAAAATGAGTATTAGAAATGACCTTAAGGGGCCACCTGGGTGGCTCAGTTAAGCGTGTGCCTTTCGCCTGCCTTTGGCCCAGGGCGTGATCCTGAAGACCAGGGATGGAGTCCCACATCAGACTCCCTGCATGGAGCCTGCTTCTCGCTCTGCCTGTGTCTCTGCATCTCTTTCTCTATGTCTCTCATGAATAAATTAAAATCTTAAAAAAAAAAAATGCATGTGCCTTTGGCTCAGGTCATGATCCCAGAGTCTTGGGACTGAGCCCCCCGCCCTGGGCTCCTTACTCAATGAGGAGTCAGTCGGCTTGTGTCTCTCTCTCTGCCCCTTCACCCCCCCCACCATGTTCTCCTTTTTTTTAATTTTTATTTATTTACTTATGATAGTCACACAGAGAGAGAGAGAGAGGCAGAGACATAGGCAGAGGGAGAAGCAGGCTCCATGCACCGGGAGCCCAACGTGGGATTCGATCCCGGGTTTCCAGGATCGTGCCCTGGGCCAAAGGCAGGCGCTAAACCGCTGCACCACCCAGGGATCCTGTTCTCCTTCTTTAAAATAAAATCTTTAAAAAATAATCTTAAAACCAACTTAGTAATTTTATTTGCCCCATTTTCTTTTTTTTTTTTTTAAGATTTTATTTATTAATTCTTGAGAGACACAGAGAGAGAGGCGGGGGGGGGGGGGGGGCAGAGACACAGGCAGAGGGAGAAGCAGGCTCCATGTTGGGAGCCCTGGACTCCCGAGTAAATTTTGAATTATACACTGCTGGTGACTCATTCAGAGTCGAAATAAATAAAAGATTTGTTATAATAAAGTAAATGTCATTAAATTTTCTCTTCAAAAAAAAAAAGATACTGTTCCATCTTAGTGATACAGCATTTTATTTATGTAATATTTTGATTTTGATCTTGAAAGAATAAATTTACCCTCTTTAATAATTTTACTCTTAAAAAAAATAAATAAATTTACTCTTGTAAATAAACTGTTCTTATGTCTTCAAATGCATGCCCTTCTTTAGGTAAGTAACTCTTCTATACTGAGAAAGTTATTCAGTAATAGAGGTAGTAAACTAAAGGATACAGATCGTCCTTGACTTAGGATAGGGTTACTTCCCAATAAACCCATTGTAAGCTGAAAATATAAGTTGAAAATGAATTAATACACTTCATTTACCAAATATCATAGCTTAGCCTAACCTCTCTTAAATATGTTCAGAACACTTAACATTCGCAGACAGTTGAGCAAAATCATCTAACAAGCCTATTTTACAAGAAAGTGTTGGATATCTTATGTAATTTATTGAATACTGCACTGAAAGTGAAAAAACAGCATCTTGTGTGGGTACAGATTGGTTGTAAGTGAATCAGGTGTTTACTCTCACAGTCATGTGGCTGACAGGGAGCTACTGCTGCAGCCATTGCCTAGCATCAGGAAAGAGGATGCTACCAAGGAGAGGATCAGGATCACACTGCTAGCCTGGGAAAAGGTCAAATAAAGTACAGTTTCTGTTGAATGCATGTCACACACCATCATAAAGCCAAAAAAATCTAAGTCAAACCATTTGAAGTTGGGGATCATCTGTATATGTTGCTTCTCTCGGGATCTAATACACCTGGTTTTAGTTATTAAATGTATTTTTGATTATGCAAAGATTCATATTCATACGAGATAAATTACATCATAAAATGTTGAGCTAAAAAAAACTAAAAAAAATAAAATGTTGAGCTTTTCAATAGTTACCATCCTGGGAAAATACTAATAGAAATCTGTAGGGACACCTGGGTGGCTCAGTCAGTTAAGTGCCCAGCTCTTTTTTTTTTTTTTTTAAGATTTTATTTATTTATTCATGAGAGATACAGAGAGACAGAGACAGAGATATAGACAGGGAGAAGCTGGCTCCACGCAGGGAACCCGATGTGGAACTCGATCCTGGAACTCCAGGATCATAGCCTGCCAAAGGCAGAGGCTCAACCACTACCCAAGTGTCCAGCTCTTGATTTCAGCTCAGGTCATGATCTCAGGGTTGTGGGGTCAAGCCCCACATCAACCTCCACACTGAGCATGGAGTCTGCTTAAGATTCTCTTTCTCTCCCTCTCCTTTTTCCCCCTCTCCCCCTTCTCTGTCTTTCTCTTAAAAAAAAAAAAAAGAAATCTGTAAAGGAAAACTTGAAAAGTAGACACTTCGGTGTAGGAATTTACTGTTGATGCTTACAGTAAAGGCACAAGTTACATTCAAAATCTTCACTAACATCATTTTTCATCTTTTTTTTTCTATTTTTTGTAAGTGAAGTTTTATCTGAAAGACAGGGTTATGTTTTAAATGCCGATTTTTAAATGGAATATGGTTACTGTTTTCCTGAACATTCAGTATTGTGCCTGAAAATGAAGCTGTAGTATGAAACATAGGACTAAATGGTACTGACCTTAGTGGCTCTAGAACTCCCCTTCTTTCAAAAGATCCGTAATAACAGATTCCTTTGTTTATTTGCCTCTTTTTTTTTAAGATTTTATTTATTTATTCATGAGAGACACAGGGAAAGGGAGAAGCTGGCTCTCTGCAGGGAGCCCGATGCAGGACTCAATCCCAGGACCCTGGGATCACGCCCTGAGCCAAAGGCAGACATTTAACCACTAGGCATCCCTATTTGCCTCTTTTTCATTAAGTTGAAACAATCAGAGAAATCCTATAGATCCTCAATCAACTGTCTGCCACCATCAATGATTACTAAAGGAGCTATGTAGAGAACACCATCAGGTCCTACAGGCCCTGGATCAATATAAAGTGTATGTAGACTACATTGGATTCTGAAGGAGTCAAAGATTCCCTTTGTAAGGCCCATACTAAACTAGCCAATTAACGTGGGACCCTTTCTTGCATATCCTTTTCCCATACGATAATGCAAAGAGGCCCAAAAACAGAGTAAGAGAGTTCTCTTCCTGTAAGTGGTCTAATCTATCCATTCCATTCTTGATTTGCTATAAATCTAACACTGGTTTTAAAGGTGGACAAGCCTGGGACTTCCATCAGATGTAAGCCGGAGGGAAACCTGATCCTTATACCATTGTTGGCTTGTCCAAGGGATGGAAAAGCAGCTGCACAGAGCACTTTGAAAGAAATGGCCAAGGTACTTAAAAAGTGTAGTTGATGTGTGGTACCCTAACTGCATAAATTTGAACCCATTTAATCTTTACAACAACCTTATGAAGAATTATTATCCCCACTTTACAGGGGAGGAAACTGCAACAAATCCAAATAACTTACCCAAGATGATTATATAGCTAGTAAGTGGCGGGACCAAAGTTGCTCAGCTCCACGCTCTTAACCAGTATGATATGCTGCCTCCCTCGATACTAATCCAAGAGGCCAAGACCCTAGACATAAAAATCCCTAGTCCAAACTATTTATAGTCCTTTTCTAACTAGAAGCTATAGCCCTTAGCAGACCCTGTCTGTCTCATCTAAACTGAGGATGACAGGGAATAAGGGGGCCTTGAACTTCTGCTAAAAAATGCCTCTGACTCAGCCACTTGGGTGGCTCAGTTGGTTAAGCATCCAACTCTAATCTCAGCTCGGGTTTCCATCAGAGTTGTGAGTTTAAGCCCTATGTTGGGCTTCATGACGGGTGTAGAGCCTACTTTAGGGGGGAGAAAAAAATATATATATATGGCTCATAAAAAAGGAAACTGACCTGGATGCCAATTTCAAGAATTTAGTTTTTCAGTATTGAAGCTACCTTCTGTCAACATCGACTTCTAGAAAATCATCCTCTTCTTTAATGCTAAATGAGTTAATATTTATAAATCATTTTAGAGGGGCAGCCCAGGTGGCTTAGCGGTTTAGCACCGCCTTCAGCCCAGGGCGTGATCCTGGAGACCCGGGATCGAGTCCCACGTCGGGCTCCCTGCATGGAGCCTGCTTCTCTCTCTCTGCCTGTGTCTCTGCCTCTCTCTCTCTCTCTCTCTCTCTCTGTGTGTGTGTGTGTGTGTGTGTGTGTGTGTGTGTCATGAATAAATAAAATCTTAAAAAAAAATAAATCATTTTAGAGTAGAGCTTGACACATCTAAACAAAAATAAAATGAATGTATGTTAACTCAGCATCATGTAAACCACTTTTCACTTTTTTCATTACTAGCACAAAGTCGACTTTATGCTTGTTTTTTGTTATATGTATTATTCTTCATATGTAGTAATGGTGAATCTTTTATTCTGTTGAGAAGCTAGCCATGGAAAAAATCTACAGATTATCATCAGATTACATTTGCACTAACATGACATGGTTTTCTTCAAGGTTTTGCTTAATATTTGAATTTTGAAGAGAAGTCCTGAAGTAGACAACATTACAATATTTAATAAAATGGAAAATGCTGTAGTGTGTTATAGTAGTGAATCAACTTTCACAAAAAGTCTCTTAGAATAACAATTTTATTCTGAATAAACATTCTGATCTACAGGATAAACCCCTGAGGTAACACTGGAATAATGAATGATAAAACTAATCTCTAAAATTAGACATTTCTTTAGGGTGTTCTCCATCCTTGGTCTCTGTCTGATGATCTCAGATAAGCCTATATGCTAAAAAGAATCTCTTAAAATCAAAGAATGAAACAGCCAAAATAAAAGAATTAAGTCTATATATTCACGTTTGAAAATTAGGATAATGGCATTTTCTAATAGCCAGAAATGTTATTTAAAAGTCATATTACCACATAAGAGAAAAGACAATCTGTGCTAGTTATGTAACCTGGGCTTATTTAATTCATTTATAGGACAGACACTAGCCATCATCAAAAGAAACTTATTTTATAGGGCACCTGGGTGGTTCAGTTGGTTAGGCATCTGACTTGATTTTGGCTCAGGTCATGATCTCAGGGTCATGGGATCAAGCCCCATGTCAGGCTCTGCACTCAGCTGGGAGTCTGCTTGTCTCTCTCCTCTGCTCCTCCCTCCCCCCCCCCCAGTTCTCTATCGCTAAAATAAATAAATTTTTAAAAATTATTTTATCCAGTATAATTCAAAACCAAAAAGTCCATTTTTAGTTTTGGACAGTTTTATAGCAAGCTGGCCTAATAATAACATTTATGAATTGGAAGGATCACCACCTTTGCAAATGATACACAAAGCTCAGAAGTCTTTCACTCATCTCTGAGTTTTACAATTTTTAAATGTTTGTCTTTCAGCGGACGTCAGTTTCATAGAATACTATGAATTAGTGCTTCTCAGCTTGACTGAGTACTCAGATAGTCTGGGGAGCTTTTAAGATTTCCAATATCCAAATCACATCCTAAACAACACAAGCCAGAATTTCTGTGTGTGGGACCCAGGCATTAGATTTTTTTTAAAGCAGACAAGTGACTCCAGTATGCAGCAAAGCTTTTGAACCACTGCCCTGTGTACTATGATTTAAATTCTCTTCAGAGGAAGGGATCTGCCCAACCACTTATTGATGACTTGATAAAGAATTTCAGCTGCTCTTTTTCGGAGCCCAAAGAATTCAGTCAAAAGTAGATGAACCAAAATGGTATTAGATCCAAAGCATTTCTTTTGCATTTCATCTCCAGTCGTATACAAACAAAAGTATATTTATTGTTCTTAAGATTGGAATAACTTCTTTATGCTTCTACAATCTTTACTACTTACCAGATGAAGAACATACGCCAATTTCAGAATGGCATCTAAAGGACACCTATATGACCCATATCATTGAGTATAACCAATTGTAGAGATTGTACATCCTGCATTGCATGTATGTTCTATTGCCACTTTGATGATGACTCCTGTTTTCATAGTTTTGGCTTGTTATTTTGCAACTTCTGGTCATCTCTCTGTTCCATTCCACTGCTTTGTCTTCTACATTTTAATTTAAATACTTTTTTCACACAAGTAACTCTTGGTTCTACATTTCAGTATGAAAACACATTTCCTAGCTATTGCCCAATATGGCCTTGAGAAAAATAGGAGAGGTCCCATATCTTGTTCAAGATAATTCATCATTTCTTCCCCCAAAATATTTTTTGTGCATGCAACTATCGCACCATCTCACTCATCGGACTGGGACTTGAACAGGATAGAGTTTCACTTTCTATGATTTGTTAGAATAAACTACTAAAAGCTGTCACCACTCATACCAGAATTTATGTTGCCCTTTACCAGAAGTATAAAATGTTTCTTTAAAATTCAAACTTAAGTAGATATGAATTGGGAGGTAGTGATATTTTTTCTCTTTTCCAGGTTTGTATTTCAGCAGTCAGAGAAGTTTACAAAGGTGGAAAGCCAATACCAATTACTGAAAATAGAAACCAACAAGTTCCAAGGACTTCAAAGTAAAATCAGTTTCATTTCAGAAAAGGTAATTAATTATTAATTGGCTTACTTGGGTATGTTTTCCCATTTTTCTTCCCTACTACCACCCTTCTACCCTAATTCATAACTTTGTTTTTCCTGCCTTTTAGAACATTACTGTTTTAACTCACTGGTTTTCATACATTTTCACATTCTCCCTTCAATCCAATTTAGACTCAGATTATTTTGAAAAGACAGGTTTTTTTTTGTTGTTGTTTTTTAATATAACAAATGTTACTGTTACCAATATTCTCCTATTGATGTGACTCCAATTTTTTATCTAAATATAAAATGTCTAAAGCACTGAAAATATGATTGGCCTTTAAGTATAAAATTAGAATACCAACAGCCTTTGCTAGGCAAAGATCCATCAGGTTTTTTTTCTTTACTTTCTAGTTGGTAAATTTATATACATCTGCATGTAAGAATGACTAAAAATAAATATTGATTTTGTAGCCAAATGAAAATTAAAATCCTTGTGTATTTGTGTTTCTTCAAGCTGCAAATGTAGATGCATTATTCCTGGAATTCTTAGAAATGTGAGACATAAAAAATTTTTAACTACCACGCTCTCAGGAGAGGTCAGCTGCAACTAATAAGGCATCATTCAGGACTTGCCTGGCTACCAGGAACCAAGCTATCATTGGGAAACATGCCTTGTTATTTACTCATTCACTAAACCTTTACTTGTGTCATAAAGTAGGCAAGGACTTGTGCTTGGCACCAAGGTGAGCAAGGATTTACAAAAACAGACAAATGAAATAGAGGATCTAATTTCCTTTGGCCTCATGCACAGAATTAGTATATAATCAATCCCCCAGAAGAGAAAAGCCACAGTTGAAAATTATGCATCCCTTGCATGTGCCAGGGGATGCCACAGAGGGAGAGTCCAGCAGCCTTGGGGAGAAGCTGCATGATGCTGCAAGAGTGGGTATTTTGACATAGGGCTCAAGTTGGAATCTAGTTACATTTCTTAAGGGCTCCTCTAATCAGAGTGAACAGAGTTATAGGGGGGGAAAATCCCAGGAGATAGAAACTCCATATACTTAAAAGCTATTGAAAACAAATTTTAGGGGGTGCCTGGGTAGCTCAGATGATTAAGTGTCTGTGTTGTGATCTCAGGGTCCTGGGATTGAGCCCCATGTCAGGCTTCCTGCTCCACTGGGAAGCTCCTCTCCTTCCCACTCATGTTCTCTCTCTATCTCTGTTGTTATCTCTGTATCTCTCAAATAAACAAAATATTTAAAAAAAAGAAAACAAATTTTGAAAAAAGATGTCCTTTTTTAAATAAAAAATTTGGTGGCAATTAAAATGCGTTTGAGGCAGGTTTTTAAAATACCATTTTTAAATTATTTTAAAATATAACTTCTCTTAGTCTCAGTTTTATCATTTAATAAATGAGAATAACAAGATTTTTATAAGGATCAGATATGATACAATATATATACAAACTTTTTGAAAACTATAAACAGTAATACATTTAAGTCATTAAGCTTTTTTTTTTTAGCTCTTTTTTTAAAAAAACAAAAAAACTACTAGGATATATTGACAGCCCATAAATGCAAATTATTGTGACATACTAGTCACTGTCTATTTTCAGATTAAATTTTGAGACCTTTATTATTCTGAAAAATTGATCTTGTATTTGGGGTCTACTGTATACTGCCTCTGGATTACAGTGATGCTCTGGTGAACAGCTTAACCAGGAAATTATCTTAGATAAAGATACACTTACCTCTTCAAAAGGCCGATGATAAGACAATTAAACAGTATTACTGATATACAAATATTTCTCAGAATTGATTTTTAGAGGATTCTTGTATTATAGCTACATGTGTACATTAAAGATAATTTTTTAAAGATTTTATTTTTAAGTAATTTCTGTACCCAATGTGGGGCTCAAACTTACAACCCCAAAGGTCAAGCATTGCATGCTCTCTTGACCGAGCCAGCCAGGCACCCCTAAAAATAATTTTCAAACAAGGTTTCAGAGTGGTCTTCCTATATTAGTCAGTCCTGTTACACATTGTTCCTAACTATCACCTGGAATTGCTTCAAGTCTTAATGGAGGGTGGGAGAGGGCAGAAGATTAACAGCCATTCTTCTTCCTAAATGTCCACAAACATGTTTTTCATACCCTAAGATATGGGAGCCACAAAAAGGCATCAGACATGGTCTCTTCCCCTAAGAAATTTAGAAACTGCTATATCTTCACCTAATAACATCAGTCTGTTAAAGAGTCAGATTTCAGAGACACTTCTAAGCCTTTCCTGTTTCCCCTCCAGGCTGCTCTTCTCTCCTCAGAGAATCCATTCTCCCCTTGCTAATTCTATCATGACAGAAATAGTAATCTATTTTGATTTTTCATTGTTAGCAATTTGCCTCCTTTTCTGCTCTTTAAAGCAAACACGTGTCCTTTATCTCTATATCCCCAGTGATGGATAATGGAATAGGAGATAATAAATCTTAGTGGGACTCCAGAATATTGTGATGTAAAAGATGCAAAGTGCTATCTCCTCTGTCAAAATTTGAAGTCAGGAACTATATTAGGTCTATATTTTCATATCTAGTGTCTAGCACAAGATCTGGCACAGAGTGAAAACTGAAAATTTCTCTAATTATGTGTGCTGAGTGCCAAACAGGTGTCAAATACACAACACCATAGGTTCTCCAGGAGCTTGGGCTATGGAAGGATGCTACAGTGAGGAGCTAAGATCTGCTTTAAACCTGGAAGGAAAGACAACTGAGCTAAGCAACAGGGAGGGAAGAATAGCATACAGAGATAAATTTTGGACTTTATTCTAGAAATATTAGGAAACGTGGGTTTTTTAATACCGTACCATGATATGTACAACAGTTTTTAAAAGCTTAATCTGGCTGTAGTATGTAGGATGATTTAGGAAAGAAGTAACTAGAAGCAGATACTAGATAATACTTCTTGTATTTTCCTTGATTCTTGAAGTCTGTTTTGGGAGCCCCATGTAAATGCTTCCTTAGCTCTTCCCCTGTTGTAACATATGTAGACTTAGTTTTCTCCCCAATTAAACTAAGCTGCTCAAGGGCAGAACCACGTCTTGTACAGTATCATGTCTTCAACATACTGCAAACACTTAGTAAGTTAACGATCATTTTAGGCCTTCCTGTAGTCTCTAAGACTGTTATCTATGTTTGAGTATAAACTAAAGGAGGTCCACAGCCTCCTATGTTCTGGACACATGAGGAAATGCCAGGAGCTTACCAAAATTTACAGAAACCTTAGCACATGTTGCTATTTAATGTGAGTTGCCTCACTTAACTGGATTTTTATTCATTTCTGCCTTTGTTATAACATCTGATTCTGGTACCTTCACTGTAGGTCAGTCAAGAAATTTCCAGGCAGAAACTCTTCCAGAATCATAGAACTTAGGAAACTTAACAAATTTTATTAGCTCAGTTACAGTTTCTAAAAAAGCAGAATAACTATAATGACAACTAAGCTGCTTTCCATTTAAGTAGGAAGGAAATGTGATATACTTCAGACTTTATTAACATCATTTCCCCTGTAAATATCCCTCCATGAAAATGTCAAATATTGTGAATATAGGTGTATGTTTTTCTACCATAGTGCTAATCTATTATATTTGTTTTTAAATCTGTTAAAACAACTACTCAAATAACGAATGTTTATGTCCTTATGGTTCTGATATACATGGATATTTTAGACATCTTCAGAATTTGAACTGAGAGTGTGATTGTAAAAAGTGTATTTCCCTAATATAAAAGTTATTAAGAGACACCTGGGTGGTTCAGTCGACTAAGTGTCCAACTCTCGTTTTCGGCTCAGGTCATGATCTCAGGGTCGTGAAATCAAGCCCCACATCAGGCTCACTAAAAATTCTCTCTCTCCCTCACCTTTGTGCCTTTATCCTTGCTCATTCATGCTCTCTCTTACTCTCTTAAAAAAAAAAAAAAGTTATTAAGTAGCCTTGGGAATTGTTTTGTGTTATAAATGCAGCTTGAGTCTACCGAAAATATCCTGCAGGAAGCTACATCATCCATGTCTTTGGTGACCCAGTTTGAGCAGGAAGTATCCAGCCTCCAAAGTATCATGCATGACATCCAAAATAGTGAAGAGTTGCTCACCCAAAAGATGCAAAGCCTTAATGAGAAATTCCAGAATGTTTCAGATTTCTGGAAAAGAAGCCTAGAAGAAATGAATGTTAATACAGACCTTTTCAAATCAGAATCAAAACACATACATTCTCAAGTTACTGTCCAGATTAACTCAGCTGAACAAGAAATAAAACTGCTCACTGAAAGGCTAAAAGATCTGGAAGACAGCACACTAAGAAATATTAGAACAGTAAAAAGACAAGAAGAAGAGGATCTTCTACGAGTAGAGGAGCAGCTTGGCTCTGGTACAAAAGCAATTGAAAAGCTAGAAGAGGAACAGCACGCTCTCTTTGCCAGAGATGAAGACCTGACTAATAAACTTTCCAACTATGAACCCAAAGTTGAAGAATGCAAGACACATTTGCCAACAATTGAAAGTGCTATTCGCTCTGTTCTCAGAGTCTCTCAGGATCTGATAGGGACAGAAAAAAAGATGGAAGACTTAACTACTCAGATGTTCAATATGGAAGACGATATGCTGAAAGCAGTATCTGAAATAATGGAGATGCAGAAAACCCTTGAAGGAATTCAGTATGATAATAGCATATTAAAGATGCAAAATGAACTGGATGTTCTAAAAGGGAAGCTTCATGATTTTATGGTATATTCAAGTACAAGAGAAAAGGGAACTTTAGAGGAATATGATGTAGAAAATAAAGGAATTCATAATGACTTTTAATGCACTACATTTATTCTGATCACCATATTGTTACACATAAATTTATTAGTTCCATGCTTTTGTGTTACTTTGACATGCCTTATTTTATCCTACATTACTGGCAAATACGTGACATATCCACACACATGGATTATCCAGAGAATCAAAGCTTATCTAAGCAATAAAATTTTCATTTTAGCCATTTTAAATAGAAATATTTCCAAAATATATCTCCACCTCCTTAAAGCAATATTCTTAATTTTTTAATGTTTTCCTAATAATGTACATTATTATGAATTTCACCTATTATATTGGACCCAAATATATTAACATCTCTTGAAGCTATTGAGGAGTTTCCCTTCTTACTGACCCTAGTTTGCTATTTTTTCAAACCTTATGTCTATATCTTATACCTTTTCTGTCACCTAAAGATGAGACCCATTGGCCTGCTGTTACTGTCAGGTTGGTTGGTAGGTGATGTGGCTGCCTAACCAGTTCTACATTTCCTTTGTAATTTACTGCAGACTAAGATCCGGACCACCAAGTTCATAGGAATTTTGTCTAAAAAGAAAAATAAAATGCCCAAAGGAGAACTTGAGGTGCTTTGCTATGAGTCAATATGTATGTTTTGAAAACTATGGAGCCTGGGGAACATTTTTACTTTTCATTAACGTTCTAAAAGCATACTATTATAAATACTTGTAAGAATTTTTAAATAAGAGTAAATATGGATGCGTCTGACCCTTGATCTCAAGGTGACAATTTGAGCCCCATGTCAACCATAGATATTTTTTTAATTAAAAAAAGTAAATATGTTCTTATTGAAAGTTTTACCTATGAATTAAGTGTGTATGCTTTGAAGTATGGACTTTTGGGATATCTTTGTATACCTGGGCTTTTTTTTTTTTTTTAAGGTTCTAACTGCGTTACAGACTCTTTAGTTAGCTAGATACATAATCTCTAGATAAAGTATTCTACCTACAATAAAAAAAAATACCAATACACCTGTGGCCCATTTTAAAGAGAAAAAGAGGGACACCTGGGTGGCGCAGCCATTGAGCGTCTGTCTTTGACTCAGGGTCTGATCCTGGATACCTGAGATCGAGTCCCACGTCGGGCTCCCTGCATGGAGCCTGCTTCTCCCTTGCCTGTGGCTCTGCTTCTCTCACTGTGTCTTTCATAAATAAATAAAATCTTTAAAAAAATTTTAAAAAAAAGATGAAAAATTTGAAAATGACTTTTCAGCATGATGAAAAATTATAACTATGGTAATTAAATGTATGTCATTGTTTTTAAAGAGTTCCCAAACTAATCACCCAACCAAATTTGTGATTTTATTTTACTCTAAATCATATAATGCAGTCACAGGGAATAATATGTGGACATACTGAGATGTGATTAAAGGGAGATCTAGTCAGATTTTTCCAATAATGATAATCAGAAATGTGCAGGGTTGGGGAAGCACATAAAACTTTTATTGGTTACTAATGCATCAAGAGTGTCCAAATCTGGTGTTGAAAACTGAGTCGACTGCATATGGAAGTACTGTTCTTGTGTCTTCTTGCCAGTAACCAACTGTAGTCCCAGTTTTATAACGCAGTATCAGTGGAATTAAACACAAAGAACTTGAAAGCAATCAATTGCAAAAAGTAGTTGCGGTCAGGTAGTTTTATTATGTAAATTTGCACATTTTTGGAAAAATCCCAAACAAGTTCTACTCTGGGGTTAGGAGGGCCTCTGGTAGATAACCATAAAAATGAGCCTGAAAGAATGCTACTATTAAAAGAGTATATCATTAATTTCTGGAATCTTAACATTAAGTTCCTTCACCTCTGAACATCCAAGTTCTTGTCTGTGTGCACTGACAAAATTGTATTTGTTTGCCTTTATTTTAATGCTAATAAAATAGATTCTAAAGTTCACTAGAACTTTGTTGTTTCAACCTCCATCCCCTCATGGCAGGTGTGATCTCTTATATTTTGTTTGCTGAGCCTATCACCAGATTTGATACATCATTAGCTTTTATATACCATAGTAGTTGCTACAGAAAATAAATGGAAACAAAGTGACCACTGTGTTCTATAGTAACAGTTACAAACAAAACCTACCCTTCCACAAGTATGTCATGAGAAAACTATTGTGTAGATGTATATACATATAATGTACACATGTATATGTATATTTTCCTTTAACTCAGAGGTTCTCCTCTAAACAATTATCAGTAAACAGTTTTAGATGTACCCAATGTGTCTTCCTCTATTTCTTACATTCATTTAGATATCACAGATACTTGAAATTTCAAAAACTTCCCTGTGTATCAGATATTAAATTATATTGTTATTCTTTCCTTTAAGGAAGATTACCATATTCTAAGACACATTTTGTGTCTTTGTAATTGATAATAAATTTTATATCAATTAATTTCTGATAGTACTACTGGGCCCATTTTTTAAATTTAGTATGAATAAATCACTTTTACAAAACAAACATCTAATTTTTTTAATTTTGGATGCAAAGTTTAAAGATATATTAATAACAATATTTCCTTAAATTTTGTCTAATGCTTAGAAGCTGTTGATTAAGTGTACTTTTCATATTTTATAATGAAAAATGTTGATTTATTAGCCTCATGGTTCTGTAGAAAACTAGTAAGATACAAAGTTAATTGCATTATTTTTAACCTCAACCTGATTATAGACCTTTGTATATATCTATAATCTTAATCACAGCTTAATATATCATTAATGATAGTAAAAAAATTAAAAATAATGATGCAAATTCACCAAGCACATGTAAAAAGATACATTTCTTTATATACTTATCTCATATTTGCAATTGGCAAAAGCTCTGTAAATTTACCCAGCATCTGTTGGTTGGTTTGTTTGTTTTCAGTTCAGCTATTGAACTATTAATTTAATACAAATCAAAATGCTCCATCCCAGGTTTGACAGCAAGGGAGGAGAGAACTAGCATTTTGGAGCCTATTATGTGCCAAACACTGCTAGGAGGTCTACATTCATCATCATCACAGTAACAGCTCTGTATCCTGAGTACCTACAATGACCTGCATTATCACTCCTTATTACAAGAACTTTGCTGGCCATGACACGCATTTTAAAAATGAGGAAACTGAGGCTTAGCAAGGTTAGGAAATGTGCAATCACACTGCTAGGTCTGTCTCTCTACTGATCTCCCACAGTACAATGCAATCTGCTACTATTCAACCAGGTGGAGAAAATCACAAGAAATCTGTTATGGATAGAACTATCTTGAGAATTTTTAAAAACCATAATTCAGCCAAATGTGTCGACTACCATATCACCATCAAACGAGACTGTAAGTCACCCAAAAGTTGTAACTATGATGTAAAATTGTTTGGGCCTTGGACATAAGAAGAAACCAATAAATGTTTAGGGAATAGTGGGAAAGAAGTGGTGGAGAAAGAGCCTCAGGCTAGAATCTTCTAGGCTTTGCCACAAACTGTGTGTTCTTGGGTGCTTTATTTGGGGGCTCAGTTTTTTAATTTGTAAAATGAGGAAATTGTATCAAAAAATCTGTAAAACCCCTTCTGGCTCTATGTGGTTTTAAATTTTAGAGATTAATAAAATTTCCAGGTCCTTTAGTTACAGCTCAAAGATCCTTTAGCACAGTTTTTGGAAAGCCAGTTGGACCCAGAAATCATTCCCTTGAACCATGTTGCTCGACTTGTAGATCCAAACAATATTTAACATTATTGGACAGCATCTAGCTCAGTAGCCTGTATACTTGATAGGAATTTGGTAAAAATCTTTTGAGCTACTGGTGGACTCTCCAACATTTCTATGCATTCTAGGCAAATAGTTCAAATTTTTTTTTAATTTTTATTTATTTATGATAGTCACAGAGAGATAGAGAGAGAGGCAGAGACACAAGCAGGTTCCATGCACCGGGAGCCCGATGTGGGACTCGATCCCGGGTCTCCAGGATCACGCCCCGGGGCCAAAGGCAAGCGCCAAACCACTGCGCCACCCAGGGATCCCCAGGCAAATAGTTTAAACAAGCCCTAAGTAGTTTCTAAAAATAATTCTGTGAAACAATTTCAAGACTATTCCTGCACCATATTAATATTTTAGTAAACATCAACAGAAGTTCATGATAAATTGCTTTTTATAAGCTACCGAGTGAAACAGCTTTACTAGCAGTTTCTTAATGATCTGCTCCTTCTAAGAATAAAGTTAGTGCTTTCTGATGAGTCTTAACTGTGTGGTACTGTTAGGCTACATTTACTCTACCAGAGTAAATACATTAATAAATAATACCTAGTAATGAATTAGATGAAATAAGCCATCTACTTCCTTCATTGTTTGAAGTCTCTGATTCAGCAAATACACTTGCAAAACCTTTCTCCTAAAAATAGCACATACTTTTGCAATCACTACTTGATTTCCTTCCTGTTTGTGGTTATATATATTTTTTAAGATTTTATTTATTTATTTAAGAGAGAAAGAGTATGAGTGGGGGGAGGAACAGAGGGTGAAGGACAAGCAGACTCTCCCTGCTGATTAGGGAGCCCAACGTGGAGCTTAAGCCCAGAACCCATAACCTGACCTGAGCCGAAGTCAGACACTTAACCCACTCCGGAGCCTCTGTGGTCACTCTTTAATGTCACACCCATAATAACATATTAACTCTCTGGCTTCTCTACTAAAGAACACTTGGGGTTACCTCCCCCTACCAATAATTAATAGAGCATAAACCTCCTGAGAAGAAAAATCCTAAAATATATTTTGAAATCAAACATACATGATGAGGCAAAGAGAGGAAATTACTACTTTAACTGTTCTCCATTTCAACTTGCCATTTTTTTTTGCAGCTATACTGTTACTCCTTTTTTAAGCTGCCATAAAAATAATATTGTGAACATACTAAATTTTTATTTTATTTGCATTAAATAAAACTAAGTTGAAATGTTATCAAAATAATCTCAAAAGATTAGCTGAGTAAACCAGGCAAATGCAATTTTATAAAGGTAATTCATAACATTGAAATACACAATTATTTTGGAAATAAAACTTGATGTCTTTAGATAAAACTGCTTTTCAGCTTGCATATTCCTTGTTTTCTGATTTTATTTATTTATTTGAGAGAGAGAGAGAGAGAGAGAGCATGAATAAGGGGGAGAGGCAAAGGGAGAAGAAGAAGGAGAATCCTCAAACAGACTCCCCCTGAGCACAGAGCCCAATGCAGATCTCCATCCCAGGACCCTGAGATCATGACCTGAACCGAAATCAAGAGTCAGACGCTTAACTGACTGAGCCACCCAGGTGCCCCTTTGTTTTCTGATTTCAAATAATCTATTTATTGTCATTTTCCTTCCCAAACTAAACTATAAACTCCTTAAAAGCAGATACTGTTCTTTTTTTTTTTTTTAAATTTTATGATAGTCACAGAGAGAGAGAGAGAGAGGCAGAGACACAGGCAGAGGGAGAAGCAGGCTCCATGCGCCGGGAGCCCGATGTGGGATTCGATCCCGGGTCTCCGGGATCGCACCCTGGGCCAAAGGCAGGTGCCAAACCGCTGCGCCACCCAGGGATCCCAAGCAGATACTGTTCTTGACCATACTAGCACACACAAGCCCAATAAACACTGTTGAATCCAATTAGTTGTTTAGGATTTTTAAAAAAAATCTTAGGGGCCCCTGGGTGGCTCAGCAGTTGAGCATCTACCTTCTGCTCAGGGCGTGATCCTGGGGTCCTGGGATGGAGTCCCACATCAGGCTCCCCAGAGGGAGCCTGCTTCTCCCTCTGCCTATGTGTCTGCCTCTCTGTGTGTGTCTCTCGTGAATAAATAAAATCTTAAAAAAAAGAAAAAAGAATTTTGGAGATAGTTTTTTATTGGTTGTTTTGTTTCTTACATACCTATTTTCTATTTTCTCCACTAAACTACTAAACTGAGTTGAGGTCACAACCCAAGCTGTCCTCATCTTTATATCCCTCATACTTGGTATGCCTAACATAGTAGGAACTTAAGAATTATTGAACTTGTCAGGGTCTCATGGATAAATACCCCCAGAAAGTTATTCATAAAAGTAATAGGACAGGGACACTTGGCTGGCTTAGTCACTACAGCATGCAACTCTTGATCTCTAGGTTATAAGTTCAAGTCCCACATTGGAGGAGATTACTTAAAAATAATATCTTTAAAAGTAATAGGACAAGAAAGCATATACACATGGAGTCTTGAACATTGGTACCTTCATTCTAGCACTTGAAATAACTACAAACAAATTTGTTTCAGAAATTATATTGCCGTGTCTGATCCCCAGAAATTTACCAAAGTTCATCTAGAGAAGGCTTTGTCCTCTCTTCTCTAGCAAGGAAAAACACTCCACTGTCTCTCATTTAGCTCATTCTGCAACTATACCAAGGCTGATGGTATAAAAATAGCTGAAAGATGTGTTACCAGTTATACTTTATTATATTTCCTTCATGTTTTCCTTCTTAATCATTACTAACACACTTGATACATCTTTTATCATGCTTTCCAGAAGGGTAAAATGGTAGTTAAAATTTCAACCTGAATTCTATATATTAAACTTTTAATCAATTTAATTATTGTGGTGCTATATTTTCTTATAGTGGCAGAAGTCTGAAGCTATCATGGAACAGTGGAACTCTTTTCAAATAATTGCTCATCTAAAGCGTCTACAGGAGGAAATTTATGAGGTAAAAACTTGGTCCGATAGGATAACTGAAAAACAGAGTATACTGAACAACAATTTTACAGCTCTTTCTCAAGATGTGACAAAAGTAGACCAAAGTACAACTTCCATGGCAAAAGATGTTGGTGTGAAGATTACAACTGTAAAAACAGATATACGACGTATTTCAGGTTTAGTAACTGATGTAGCATCATTGACAGATTCTGCACAAGAATTACAAAA